TGATGAAATCACGTCTGGACATGTGCTCCAGAGAGTGCAGCCCCTTTGTCAACGTCCGGACGCATATTCCCGTAGGTTTCCTTCATACCGTGTGTGTCTGGATGCGTGGTCCAGTGAGTTTGTTACTCTACACTTAGAAAAATTTTCAATTTTTCTCCTCTTTCCTCCCAAGTTGATACAAATTGATCCTAAAAACCAAAAAACTTCAAAACTAAAATTATTATTATTATTTTAAAATTAACAAAATAAAATATTTTAGACGCAAGTGCATAATGTATGATCAATAAATCAAGTAAATAAATATATGATCAATAAATCAAGCCAATAAATAAATCAAACATGCTCACCCCCCCCACTCAAAACTTTACATTGTCCCCAATGTATTAGTAAGCAGAATAAGAAAAATTTAGAGGGACATACTAGATGAGCTTATACAGTTCATGTGTATCTGCAATATTTCATAAGATAAAAGAAAAAAAAACGTACAACAATATACAATTAAAATACAAAAATTGAGCTAAATTGTTAGATATGAATCATTCATAGTGGGGATCCACCAACCTGATGGATTCCACTTCAACTATACCTTCCTCCAAGAATGGCTTCAATCGCTATCCGTTAACATTAAAGGTGTTCCCATTATTGGGATTTTCGATCTCCACTGTTCCATATGAAAAATTTCTTGAACAATATACAGACCATTCCATCTAGTCCGAAGTTTTCCTTTGAAGATATGTAGTCTAGAATTATATAATAGAACTTTTTGTGAAGGTGTAAAAATTTTACGCAAAATATTTTTATCATGAAATACCTTCATTCGTTCTTTATTAATCTTAGAGTTTTCATAAGCTTCATTTCTAATCTCCTCAAGCTCATTTAGTTGTAATTTTCGTAGGGTGCTGACATTGTCAAAACTAAAATTAAACATCTTAATGAACCAATATGTCTTATGTTCCATTTCCACAGGTAAGTGACAAGCTTTTCCATTTACCAATCTATACGGAGACATGTCAATCGGAATTTTGTAAGTAGGACGATATGCCCATAACACATCGATTAGTCATAATGATCAATTTTTACGATCAGGGTTAACTATTTTTTTCTAAAATATAATAAATCTCCCGATTGGCTAGCTCTGCTTGACCACTTGTTTGTGGGTTATAGGGGGTTGCTACTTTATGTGTCACACCATATTTTTTCATTAAAGATTCAAAAGGTCTATTGCAAAAATGCAATCCCCCATCACTAATGATGGCTCGAAGTATACCAAATCTAGACAAAATATTTTCTTTCAAAAATTTCAAAACAACTTTATGATCATTTGTTCGACATAGTATAGCCTTGACCCATTTTGAAACATAATCTACTGCCACTGAAATATATATATCTCCAAAAGATGGGGGGAAATGTCACATGAAATCAATGCCCCAACAGTCAAAAATTTCTATTATCAAAATTGGATTAAGAGATATCATATTTCTACGGCTTAATCCCCCAAAATTTTTGACAATGCTCTCAAACCTTACAAAAATTATGCGCATCCTTGAAAATTGTTGGCCAATAAAATCTACACTACAAAACCTTGGTAGCGGTCTTTTTCATAGAAAAATGACCCCCACATGCTCCCGAATGAGAAAAAGATAATATACTACTTACCTCATCATCAGGCACACATCTCCGAATGATTTGATCAGAATAATACTTAAAGAGATTTGGATCATCCCATAAAAAATTCTTTACTTCAACCAAAAATTTCTTCTTATTCAAAGTAGTCCAAGCTGGTGACATATTACCTGTAACAAGAAAATTCACAATATCAGCAAACCAAGGTACTGAAGAATCTCTCAACAGTTGTTCATCCGGGAATGTATCCTTGATCCGCACTGTCTCTATTGGCACATCGCTCACAAGTCTAGACAAGTGGCTGGTCATTACATTCTTTACTCCTTTTTTATCTTTGATTGTTATGTCAAATTCTTGGAGTAGAAAGATCCACCCAAATAATCTTGGTTTTGCAACTTTCTTAGTCAACAAATATTCAAGAGCTGTATGGGCCGTGAAAATAACAATAGGGGATCCTACTATATATGACCTAAACTTGTCTAGGGCAAACACTACTACTAGTAATTCCTTTACTGTAGTAGAATAGTTCATTTGTGTATTAGTTAATGTCCTACTAGCATAGTATATGACATGTGACTTTTTCCCGTTACGTTGCCCTAAAATTGCCCCTATGGCGTTGTCACTAGAATCACACATGATTTCAAAGGGTAGACTCCAATATGGGGGTTGCATAATTGGATGGGTGACGAGCATGCCTTTTAGCTTATCAAAAGCTTTTTGACATAACTTATCCCATTCAAAAGGTATGTCTTTCCCTAGGAGATGACAAAGTGGTCTAGATATAGATCTAAAATCTTTTATAAATCTCCTATAGAAACCAGTATGACCCAAGAAAGATCTAACATCCTTAAGGGTTTTGGGGATAGGTAAATTAGCAATTAATTCAATCTTGGCTCTATCTACCTGAATTTCCTCTGAAGAGACAATGTGACCAAAAATAATTTCCTTTTGAATCATAAAGTGGCATTTTTTCCAATTCAGTACAAGATTTTTCTCTTCACATTGAATAAGCACTTTTTCAAGAGTTGAAAGATAGCCATCGTAGGAATCACCAAAGACAGTAAAATCATTCATAAAAATTTCAAGAAAATGCTCAACCATATCACTAAAAATACTAAGCATTCACATTTGAAAGGTCACAGGTGCAGTACAAAGTCCAAAAAGCATCCTTCGATAAGTAAAGGTACCAAAAGGACAAGTAAATGTGGTCTTCTCTTGGTCTTCGGAAGGTAGGGCTCATTCGGTCAAGTACTCCATCAATGGAAACGAATATACTATGAGATATTATCTTGCTGATGGTATATATCCAGAGTGGGCTACGTTTGTCAAAACAATTTCATGTCCAAGAGGCAATTAGCAAATAAATTTTGCACAAGCTCAAGAGTCAGCCAAAAAGGATGTTGAGCAAGCTTTTGGAGTGCTCCAAGCATGATTTGCTATAGTTCGTGGACCTGCACGTTTTTGAAAACTTGAAATGATTAAGGATATTATGAAGGCATGCATAATATTACATAACATGATTGTCGAGGATGAGAGAGACGGTAATGAAATGGACTTTAGTTATGATGCAGCAGATGAAATTTCTACCCTACATTGATATCCGAACGGAGTTCAAAATTGTTTCAATTTATTCATACTCAACATCGCATTTGAGACAAAGACACTCATTCAAGACTCCAAACTGATCTAGTTGAACACCTGTGGAATATGCATGGAATGTCTACGAATATTTAAACATTCATTGTCTACGACTATTTTAAGCATGCATCATATTACAGTACTTGTTTGTCATACTACTACTCAAAAATTGTTAGTCTATGAATAAGAAAGAACTACATTTTCTTTACCATGATTTCCATCTAGAGACGCCTAAAATATTCAGCTTGAATCAGAGGCATGACACTCATATCCATCAACATTATTTTCTATTCCTCCTTCATTTGCTCGAGTTGTACCTTCTCTTGTTTAACAGCCAACATTTTTTCCATGATTTCGACTTTCTTCTCCGCCAACATCTTTTTCTCCTCCTTCATTTCTTCAAACATTTTCACGAAAAAAGTTGAACTTGAATTATCGCCTTCAGAGAGTTTGCTCTTTGAATTTCTTGCTCGCTCTTTCACAGCCTTCCTTCCACTTGGCCTCTCCAAGCCCTATTGTCGTCTCCCATGTTTACCAATTCTGGTGTTGAAGGATTAGAGCTGCTAGGAGTTGCACCACTTTTGTTTTTTTGTTTCTTGGATTGAGAATCCTCCATCCATTTTGGGTGATGCCGCAACTCATTCCAACAATGTTCAAATGAAAAAGATGATTTATGAAGTTCCTTGTACACTTTCTTTGCATCACGGACTTGAAAATTGTACAATAATGCTATGTATCATAAAAGAAAAATGCCCTATTTTTACACTTGTAATTAAAATACACCCATACCTTGTCTTTCTTTGTCAGACTACTTTGATTCAACCTTTCAATTTGGTCAAAGCAGCCACAAAATATATTGGTGGCTAGTTGAATTGTCGACCAACGATTCATCAAAAAAACTTGACTGCGATTACAATCTGACTAGGGTTTGTATTCGTTAAAGTACTCCAAAACCCTTTGCCAATACCTTTTAGATTTTTGCTCATTCCCATGCACGGCATCCACGCTAATACTAAGCCAACCTGAGATTAAAAATAAGTCTTCCTCAACTGAAAAGTTTCTGCCTCGAACCTTTTTGGTGGTGGATTCTATTGGAGGTGATATTGGTGAAGAATGATTTATTTGGTCTACTAATTGAGTGTTAAACTCATCTACATTTGTTCCGTTGTTCAAGAGATTGGTGAAGTAATATCCATGTTCATCCATCAAAAAACCTATATTGTTGATGAAAAAAGTTCAAAAGAAAGGTGCATAAAAGTTACTCGTGCAATATCAGACGATAGACATAATCACAATAAACTAGAAAATATGTCTCCAAAGCACAGACACCACACACAAACTACAATGCCAGATCTAATCAAGTCTCTAAAACATAAACCATAATTATATCAAAGTGATCTATAGATAACACATATATAGAAGCATAAACAAGCACATTACGATCCCAAACATAAAAGGGTTTTGGACATCTCAACACATATATCCAATTGCCTTTTAAAAAGATTGTGCTTCAAAACTCTGCATTAAGTGGGAACTTCAATCTGCAAAATTTGCTTATCTTGACTACTATCAAGGCAGATCCATCCAGAGTTATGGATTACATTAATAGGCTAGATGTGAAGAAGCTGTGGAAGCCCAACTGTATGAAGAAGCTTTTNGTGAAGAAGCTATGGAAGCCTAACTGTATGAAGAAGCTTTTGCAATTTTCAAGAAGTTCAATTTGAACGTACAAGCTGTCAATGTCTTACTGGATAATATCCAAGACATCAACCGGGCTGTGGAATTTGCATTCCATGTCGAAGAAGATGCTGTTTGGAGTCAGGTGGCTAAATTTTCAACTCAGGAAAGGATTAGTTAGTGATGCCATCGAGTCATTTATTCGTGCAGATGATGCCACACAATTTTTAGATGTTATTCGTGCTGTTGAGGATGCAGATGTTTACCAGGACTTGGTGAGGTACCTTCTGATGGTTAGACAGAAGGCTAAGGAGCCTAAAGTGGACAGTGAGCTCATCTATGCATATGCAAAGATTGATAGGCTAGGTGACATTGAAGAATTCATTCTCATGCCAAATGTTGCAAATCTCCCCAGTGTTGGTGATCGCTTATATGATGAAGCTCTATATGAGGCTGCAAAGATTATTTTTGCTTTTATTTCCAACTGGGCCAAGTTGGCAATCACACTTGTAAAGCTAAAACAGTTTCAAGGTGCTGTTGATGCAGCACGAAAAGCTAATAGCTCAAAGACATGGAAAAAAGTATCATTTGATGTTGACCCATATTTGTTCACTAATTCTATCATCATCCTCCTACACATATGTTCAAAGAATCTAGTGTCATTTGATTTACAACTATTGGCCATTTCATCGAACACATTGTGGGCATGTCAAATTTGGTCCTTTAGCTAAACAAATGCAACTCAATGCAACATCCAATTCAAGAAAACCAAAGTTAATACTAATAACAGAGATATAGAAAAGGAAAAAAAAAAAAAGAGATTGAGGCATTCGTCACCAACTTCAGACAACCAAAAGGGGGGGGGGGGGAGATTCCTGAACGGTGGTTGTCTGGCTGTGGTGGATCGCTGGCAACGTTAAAACGAGTGAGAGCTCTGATGAAGACGAGATCCCCAAATTTGGTGCAAAAATCTGATGAAGAACGACTCAAAATTGGGGGAGAGAACTCTGATGAGAGAGAAGCTTGCTGGGAGAAAGGGATGAGGCAGAGTAGCGAGCAAAATGGAGAGCCCGTTGGAGCAAATTTTTTTGGATTGACTCAATAAAATAGCTAAAACTTGCCTTTTGTTGAGCCGGTTAGAGTTGCTCTTACATTGAAAAGATAGGAGTAAAGGTAAACTTTATTGACACCTCCTGTGTATATATGCATAGTTTCAAAGACACCCTTTTATGGTTTGAAACGGATATACTACATGTGGTTTTTACATGTGCATGTATTTACATCGACATAAATGTCAGGGCAAGCGCTTCAACAAGGCCAACTAATTTTGGACTTTAGGGCCCATGTTCAAAAGCAACATGAATAATAAAATTATCAATATACGTGTATATATATATATATATATATAGAGAGAGAGAGAGAGAGAGAGAGAGAGAGAGAGAGAAAGAGAAGAATTTGAATTTCAAATTTTTATGTGAAAAATTTATTGGAATGTCTTTATTGTAGTAAATTAAGGGATAATAATTCTCAAGTTAGGAAACTAATTTAAAGTTACTTTCAAATAAAGGTATTGTGGAATTTTAAAAAAATAGTGGATTTAATCACTTATTAGTAAGATTAAAAATGAATCCCAAATAAGTTTTCTTGACGGACTAAACTCATTATAAGTTCTTTAAGAAGGACTCAGCCCCAATTTTTACAAAAAAAATTAGATCCATAAAATTTTAGACCCCTAAAATATCTTTAAAAACTTTAAACCCAATCAAAAATAAATTTGAGTATTGGGCTCATGAACCTAACCCATAATATTAAAAATATATTAAAATAATTTTTTATTTTAAAAATAGAAAAGCTAAAGGTTAAACAAAATTCCAACTGGTCAATCAAAGATTAGTGTTACTAAAAGCTAAAAGTTCAAATTGATAAAATATTTCTTAAGATTGATTATATAAGAAAGATCGGGTGAATTAGTGATACTATCAATATAAAATAAAATTTTAATTAAACATAAAATATAATAGTATTTTTAATCTCTGAAAAAAATAAATTTTAAATAAAATAGAAAACATCATTTTAATTGTCGTTTTAAGCCTCAAACAGTCTTGGGTTGTCCCTGGTGTGTGTGTTTGAGAGTGAGTGCAAGAAACAACAAAACAAGGAGGAAGAGCATGTGTTTTATGCTTCTATGTGTACATGCAAGTGCATTATTATGCTATTTTGTGTGCATGTGTGTTTGCTTCTTTTTTTTTTGGGTTGGGGGGGGGGGAGGGGGGTTT